CCATGTCGTAATTGCAAGACAGTAGTTTGAATCTGAATTATTCACTTTGTTTCTGAATCATATCCATATAACACAAAGTTGGGTTACTTATACAATTTTTAACTCAAGAACAGCTGGACCGAATTTTATGATCTCTGATTTGTTGGATTTGCCTATGTCCCTAATAATAGGACAACCATTAAAATATCGAAAAAAAAAATCATGAAAAAAACATATAAATTTAATTTTTAAATATATTTTGGTACGAAACTCACGTCATAACTTCTAGTGTCTTCTATAAAAGCGAATATCTCCAATAAAAATGAAGCTATTGAGATCAAACCAAACCAAAGCAAACTATCGAGAAAAGATATACCTAGATGATAACATTATTTTTAAATTCCTTGCTGTCTTGACATATTCTACAGGGTGTTTCAAACTTTCACCAAAAATTCAACATTTTGTTTTCCCTCGTATAATTGACAAATGGAAACTTTCATTTTTAATTTAGAAAATCATCAAAATCGGCCCAATAGAACAATAGTTATTTTTTATATAAGACGATAAAATGGTATTTTACCGGCGATCGAAAAGATTAATTCACGAGCGATGAAATCGCGAGTGAATTAATTTCGGGAGATGATAATGCAATTTTATCGTTGTGTATAAAACAATATTTTTTCCATAGCGAGTTACGTTTTAAAAAATATTCAGAAATTATTATTTCAAGGATTTTATTACGAGTAGAAAAAATATTGTGCTGGGTTGGCGTTGGTTTCTATGTAATTTGACAAATAAATAAAGCTGTCTGTTTAGTTGTCAGTTTTGAGTCAATATTTTTTAATTCTCTCTCGTGTCGATTGCTGATTGAATTGGAGCTAGAAATGGCTCAAAACGAAATAAGTAAATTACCAACAGATATTCAGGCTGAGGCGACAAACGCCATATCCAAACTACTTCCATTTAAATCCCGAATAACTTATGAAAAGGAATACAAAAATTTTCAAAAATGGTAGCAATTAAAAAACGTGGAAGGAGAAAGATCTAGTGAAAACATACTTTTAGCATATTTTTCTGAAAAATAAAAGAAAATGCAGCCGTCCAGTTTATGCTCGTACAATGCTAAAAAGTACAATACTGGTCAATGAAAACATTGATATTTCAAAGTTAAGGATAAGCTATACCGTTTAAATTTCCGTAGTAGTATATAGTAATATCTAAACTTTGTAGATATAGCAAGCTCATAGCTTTCTTGAAGCAGTCATGTAGCGGTTACAAACCGAAAAAGTCAAAAATTTTAAGCCCAGAAAATGTCGTGAAATTTCTTTGCACTGCTTTTTTGCATTTAATATACCCTTGCGTTAAAGTACTATTTTATCTACTATTTTTGATAGATATAAGGGAATTTTAACAGTTGCTATGGAAAAAACTTTAAAATATAGGTATTTTTTATGTGTATTTTTGATCAGTGCGTTAAAAAAAGAAAAAAATCTGTCGAACTACATTAAAATAAAAAGAAAATAGTATGTAAGCATCTGACAAATTTCATCGCGATGTAGAATCGGCGAAAGTTTGTGGGAAACTCGCACCACTGCCGTTACTGACGTCAACAATTACGAAGTTTGCCGCTCCGCCAAACTATCGTATTCTCATTTTTCGATCTGGCGAAGTCTGACGTCGCAAAGTTTTCCGCCATCGACAAAGAGATTATCAATTTAGATGGATGCGCATTTAGTTTAGGATAATCGAGCGAAATACGGCTTTGAAAGGGCTTTTTCTGTTGAAAATACTATTATATTTTAAATTCTTTAAAATGATTATATTTATTATCATTAAAGAATATATGGTACTAAGTTTGTGATTGGTTCTTTGTGAAATATTAGTATTTTAATAAAATATGCTTTTAGATTTATCAAATTTATTAAGAGTATCTTTAACTCTACATATGTTTCGGCTTGTGACGATTTTTTCAAAAGTTTCTTAAAACTAACTGTCTGACTACACTCGTTTTTTATTTTTTGAGATAACAAAACGAGATTTGGTATGTTAGCTATGGTTATGTTAGTTATGGCCCTGGGTACTTTGTTACTTTATTCGACAGAAAATGACACTCTGAATAGGATGACGTATCATCTGTCAACTTTTGACATTTTCGAATATGGTTTATTTGAAATTGCAACATGGCGATTCATAACGACAATTTCACTGAAAATACCAAGCGTGTGGAACCAAATTATTCGTAAAGTATTCGTGAAAAATACTTTTTCCAAATATGCTAATAAGCCACCCTCTTTCCATTTGAAAAAATTGGGTATGTTTAAAAATACAATTTGGGCATCTTTTAACCGGCCCAGGACAAGACACTAAAAACATTAAACGATCAAATCTATTTTTCTAAGGCTCCTTGATTTAAAATTAGTGTGTTTAACATAGCCATGGCGCTCTAGATTGAACTTTAAAATACAATAATTTGGTTTTAAGCGAAAATGTCAAATGTTGACATATGATATGTTATTCTATTCAAAGTGTCATTTTCTATCTAAAAAAGTATAAAAAATATCAAGGGTGCCATTTAAAAATCAAAAGTAGTCATTTCCGGTGAAACAAGTAGTGTCCGAAAACAATTAAATACGTCAATCATTCCTGATTTATGTCTTATACAAACGTACCAAATCTCGTTTTTTTTTATCTAAAAAAAATAAAAAAGTTATAGGATAACAGTGACTCATTTTGTAAAACACTCGGTATTCATAAATCAATATCTATAGATACAATAGAAGCGTTTTAAAAATAATAACAAAAGCATTCAAGCTATTTCAAACAAATCTTTAATATTTCTTGTTTATTTAGAATAACTGCCTATACAGGGTGTACAGTCACACATACATAACTGCAAATATTTTTAGAGGTAGTATATTTCGACCCCAGAAACACGTCTGAGGTTTTTTCGCGAAAAAATAGTTGAAAATTTGGAGTTTCTTGAAAAATTTTGGAGATTTTTTTTTCATTTTTAGTTAACATATTTTCATAATATGGCAACATAGGTAGTAGATTAAATTTACAACAAAAAAAAAACTATAAAAGATCCAGGTCGCTTTAAATTGAATGTTTTATTTGTTAATACAGTCGAACTAAAAGGGTTTATTTTGGCATACTAAATGACACCTGATACTTGTATTCTTAAAAATCAACCCCTACGCAGAAGCAGGCACATAAACAAACAAGGATAATTAAAAATAAATCAAACTTATCAAAACAATGAAATACAAGCCTCATTTCTTAAGAGAAATGTTTGGGTTTTTATATTAAGCACTATAATCGGAAAACAACAGATAGAAGGGGTGTTTTAGCCTAAGGGTTGATTTATTTACAGACATTTCTCAAAAAAAAGTGTTGTATTACCGAAATCTATCATCGTCTGACACGGATTTTCCTTACTAGTAATGTTTGAAGAGGATCTTAGCTTTAATTTGAAGAAGATTTATGGTATTTGGTCTTCTTGTTTTATTAAATGAAGCAATACAATCTTTATGTAATATAATATATTTTTGGGGTAAATCAGTAGAAGGGCTGTCATTTATTTTAAATCTTTTATAATATTACATGTAGATCAAAGAAAAATTTTAATAATATTTATAATAATATGAAATGTTAATCATACATTAATAAATTATGTGACCCCCGTACTCTGATACTTTATACTTACACTACGTTAATTACAAATACTAAAAACACAAACTTGAAGCTATCACCAAGACATATTTTAACGTTATTATTCTAGCTGTCGTCCGAAATTTCTATTATAAACGCTGCCATAACCGAAATAACTAAAATCATATTTCAGAAGCGCGTGAAAAATCAGATTTTCTCCAGAAAATGGAATGCAGACGCTCTCGCAGTCAGCAACGACATCTGTAATCAAGAGCGAAAATAAATGGGTAATTTTGTCACGGTCATTGTTGCCATCAGAGCACTGTTTTAGCCCGTATAAATGTCAGCGAAAAATATTTTAAACATGCGGACAATTTGACTAACAAATATTCTACTTAGAACTTTTTGCATGTTGAACATCTAACAGTTTGCTGGAAATTGTTTAGATGTACAGTAGTGTAAAGATTTAACTGAATGTAAGAAATAACAAAGAAATAAAAAGTAAAATAAAGATACAGAACACAAAATTGACATACATTTATGGATTAATAAATTATACTGGGTGAGTCTTAAATAAGTGCAAATGTTTTTAGGGATAGTATATTTCGACCTTAGAAACACGATTATGAGGTTACTTTTGCGAAAAAAATTTTTGCAAAATTTGAAATTTTTTAGTTAAAAAACATAATTTATAAATTTTATTGCAACATAGGTAATAGATTAAATTTACAAGAAAGAAACCCCAAAAAAGATCCAGTGGTTCTCAAATTTTAAGCAATTTTTTTGCAAATTTTCAAAGTAAAATAATTCGGTTATTTAGGACTTATTTGAAAAACGGTAAAGAGAAAATATGTTTCTTTTGTCGAGATCAACCAGCCCTAAAAATATTTGCACTTATTTAAGATGTGAAACAGGGTGTCCCATTTTAGTGTGTTTTACACACACAGGGTGTCCCATTTTAGTCTCGTTTACGAGTAGAGATGCAAAGATGCGGTTTTTACATTACTTGCTACTTTTTTATGAAACAGGAAGTGACCGAGAATAATTGAATATATCAATCAATCTTGATTTATGTCTTATTCTAACTTACCAAACCTCGTTTATTTATCTGCAAAAATTAGAAAGTTATAGGGGTAAGCCAATTCTGAAAAACACCGGCCATATCAGGATACACATCAGAGGCCATTGTAAAATGAACCTGGTGCAACGATTTTACAAAATCGCAGTTTATTCCTTTATATCGTTAATTTTTTCTTTCGTATATTAAAATTTAGTAACGATAAATAAATATTTTGAATTTGAATTTGAATGTGTACAATTTTCTAGCATCTAGGCTAACACAAACTAAATGGGTTTTGTTTGGCTGTTAGTTTCAGAATGAGAAAGACGTGGTTTAATGAGCGGGGAGGGTTACGGCAGCGGGCGGCTCCCTGAGACATGCAGCGGCTCAGAACCACCTTCAAAAGGTCCCGCACGCCCACCGGAGCCGAAATGAAGACCCAGAGCAGCCTGGAGGTGCCCAAGCAGGTAACAAATCCAAACAATCAAACTTATTTTAATCTCAATATTAAATAATGTCTATACCTCTGTGACGGATTCTCTTAGTAAGAAAATCTACAAAATATTTTTTTTTTGTAAACACCGTTGCGTTAATCCAAGGGAGAACAACTTGTCAGCGGTGTTTACCTAATAAAACAAATTTTTCTGACGGATAAAAATGCCTAAGTTTCGGGAAATATATCTCTTCCTATCGTAGGATGCAAAAAATCAAAGTATTTTTAAGAAACACCCGGTATGCATAAGTCAATACTTATATAGATACAATAGAAGCGTTTTAAGAACAATAACAAAAAAATTCAAATTCAATTTTCAACAAATCTTTATTATTTCTTATTTATTCGGAATAACCGTCTATACAAGGTGAATCTTGAATAAGTGCAAATATTTTTGAGGGTAGTATATTTTGACTCAGAACACGTCTATGAGGTAAATAAAAAAAATACCGTCTCAAATAAAACTTTGGAAATTTGGATTTTTTTGGAAATTTTTTGAAAAACTTTTTGGATTTTTTTTTTAATTTTTAGTTAAAAAACATATTTGCATAATATGGCAACGTAAGTAGTAAATTCCAGAAAAAAAACCAGTAAAGATCCAGTGATCTCAAAATTTAAGCCAAATAATCTATTTTTTTTAAATTTAATCTTTTAATTTTTTTTTGTAAGCACCGTTGCGTTAATCCAAGGGAGAACAACTTGTCAGCGGTGTTACCTAATAAAACAATTTTTTCTGACGGATAAAAATGCTTAAGTTTCGGGAAATATATCTCTTCCTATCGTAGGATGCAAAAAAACAAAGAAACGAAGAAAAAAACTATTTAAAATATCTAAATACAGCTATTCAAGAACACTTAGTTTTTTTCAACAGATACGTCTATGAAAAACCGTTGACGTTCTGTTAAAATGACATTATATATCAAGTTAAACTTCAAAATTAACATTTACTACCTCATAACAGGTAACTTAATGGGGTAAAACCAAAAAGCCTCAAAGTTTCTGTATATCATTATTTTTTATTTGTTTTTAATTTTTACTTACGTTATGTTATCTCTAGATTCATTATGTTTGCCTGTTTCTTAGGCCACTATTAGACTATAAAAAATTTTTGTCAAAAATGTTATATAAAAGATATTTTATGACGAATTTGACAGTGTAATATGTGTGATTTTATAAAATATTGTATATTAACACCGTCAAATTTTTCTTAAAATATCTTTTATAAAAGATATTTGACAAAGAAATTTCATAGTGTAATGGTGGCCTTACTTATGCCTTTCAATTAATTAACTTCACACCTCCGTAAGAACTTAGTTGTACGAACAAATTCACATCTAATTCAACTGTCACCATACTCAACACAAATAACCAATACCCGTCATCAAATCAACCAATACCCTTCATAACACAATATTCTAATCCTCTTTTCCGCTTTTTTTCCAGATCCGTTCGGCCTCCTTCGACGAAATCCAGCTTGAAGCGAAGCGGATCCAGGCGGCGGCGGCTGCGCGGGGCCAGCACGCGCCGGCCGACGCGCAGGCGTTGCTGCGCGTGCCACAGTATGAGCAGCAGCGGTCGCGCAGCGTCGACTCGGGCTCGACGGAGGAGACTGGAGCCTACCTGGAGGTGCCTCCCAGGCGGTTCCAGAGGAGGAGGTCGTCGGGTGCCAAGAGTCCGGTGGGTACCGATATATAGGCTGTTCTTAGATTTATATATAACTTTTGAACTATAAAACATTCGTGATCTGCGGAGAGTATCAATTGTTTGGTTAAGAGAAAGAGCAACAACAATATCGAACGTCAACATAGTTGTTATTTCATTACTGTTTATTTATAAACTCAGATGAGAAAAAAAAACGCTACGGAAAATATTTTCGTCAACTTTAAAGTGATATATTTTTATTATCTTAACCCTATCTTTATGAATTTTTTAGCAAACTGTATATAAATATACCAACTAATTCGTAAACTCAGTTTATCATAAACTTTAGTACTTGGCTTATTATACAAGGTTAATCGAAGGGTTGTTTTTTACCCTAATTTTAAAACATTCTGTGCAATAATTTTTTAACTGAGTAAATTTTTTTGAAACATTAGTTATTTTTTAATATGACGAGGTGGCTTCGGTAACCTTTATCGTCATCATGCAAGCAAATGGTATCCGTTGGTTTAGTATCAACATGACAGACTGCCATGTTTTACATGTTTTTTTTTTCAAATTGATATTAACTCAAGTTGACCTTATACTTGGTTCTCTACAGTATCAAAGAAGTAATATTTTAAAAACTACAGAGTACTTTTATTCCATTAAATAGATACAAGTTTATATGGAAAGTAAGTTTGTGTTTCGCGTATTTCAATAAAAAAAATCTATGATGCCACTGCCCACATATTTTTAAGGTTAGTTCGATATCATGTTTTCTGTTAAAATTCGAACAGTAAACCTAATATTTTCGGAACACTGGGCCATCAATCATGATTCTCTATAGAATGAAATATGGTAATAAAGATGCCTGGACTATTTTTATATTAAATTTTTTCGTGTTATAATTTTCAAAATTAAATATTACTTTTATGAAATATCTATGAAAAAATTGAGAATGAAAGTGATATAAACCATAATAATTTATTACTACTAACTAATCAAAAAATAGAATTGCGAACTTATATTCGTATTCTTCCAATTTCCATTATCCTATTCAAACGTAAGAGTGGAAACGAAATCTAAAACGAGACAAATTGATATCAAATATTGATAAAAACTATGCTATTTTTAGAATACATCCAATTTGGAACCCGTCCATTTATAGAAACTTTGTGTTTTAATAGAATAGTGGCGGTAAGGTGGGTGTCATACGTAATTCAGTAAGGGTAGAAACCTTAGATCATGAATACTACATGGATAACGTCATCCTAAGCATTCTTTTTGAAGTGAAATTTTTTACGAGCGCTGGGTGTAAAAATTCAAGGTCGTGACACAAGAGCTGAATGACCGAGATGAAAAGAGGTAAGGATCGCACAAACAAAGTAAATCGCTATAAATAATAACAAAAACAGACCACACAAATTGTTGGTTAGGTTTAAAATTTCTTCTCTCCTTAAATAAATTTTAACGCGTTAACATTATTAGGCATTTGCATAAAAGTGTGTATTTTGGGCGGTATTTCATAAAATTTGCAGGCTATTGAGGAAACAGAAAATGTACAGATTACAGAAATAAATTGATATATAATATTATTTATATTAAAACTAAAAAACTATTTATCACTTTTTCAGACGTTCAATCTTTTTCAAACCTTCGCAAAACTTCAAAAACTTCTTTCGCCTTCTGTCAAACCTTCGTTCAAAAACTTTTTCAAACCTTCAATTTAATAACTGTTAGTAAACATTTGTTGTAATAGTAAAATACCACTGCCAAATTGGTCTCCGTTGCATCCACTCAGTGATGTTTATAAAAAATAACTAACTCATATTATATATTTTCTTCTAGTGGCTAAAAACCACAAATCTTCTCAGGTATAGACTTGTATATCTATGTTAACATCAAAATTGGAGTGTTATAGCACTATCCACAAACGAATATATGATCTATGGTAAAAACACCTGAAATATAGGTTAGCTACCGTAAGAGAGAAGATACTGAAATCTGCCTATCGATTTGCTTGAGCAAGGGCATTATTTCTGTAAATATCAGTCGACATAGTTGACATAGAAACGCGTATTGCTGTATATAAATACGTTTCATACTCAATAGTTCGCACTGGGGCTCCGTCTCAACAAGTTATCGTTTGTAATAGAGACGTTAAACAATTTAGTTTTGGTATAGTTTAATGTGGGATGTTGTTAATGTTAAGTGAAATAAATTGTTATTGGTGTTAAAAAAGTTAAAGGAATATTATACAGTGTAGTTTAAAGATAGCCTGTAATAATCGTGCGTATTTGATAATTTTTGTTATAAACAAACAATAAAAATGAGTTGTATATGTCGATTATAGGTAATTATGCTTAAACCTGTGTCTTTTTTTGTCCCACATTTGTATATATTTCGAGAAAAAATAATTTTCTGAAAATAGATTTGTGTGTCTGAAAACGATCTATCTTTCTATAAGTAATGTTAATTTTTGACAAATTTTATGTGACATTTTTAGTAAATGATGTCTAGAGATTGACCTCGCCAGAATTATCATCGATTGTTATTCCTCAGCCGTCTTTTTTTTCGATCATACGGTATTATAGCTGATAAAATTGAATACATTTATTAACATTACGATTCCGCAACTTGGTATCTTTAAAACTTTATTTTTTGTCACATAATCAAGATCTACTCAAAGTAAATTATAAAAATGAAAATATATCCCGAAAGCTTTGTCTAATCTAAGGGATAGGCAACACTAATAGTATTTTGAAAAAATAATAAATCTCTATTAGAATAACATACAGGGTGTTCCATTTAAAATAAAAGAGTAACTTGCATTTAAAAGTGATCAATGTTCAATATTAATTTTATCTCGCCCTGTATAAATTTTCTTGTCAAATGTTATTTTTGTTTAACTTAGGATGGTTATTTTAACTAAATATTACGCCATACAGAGTAAATTATATTTTAGGTAGCTTTTATTGAAGTTTAAAGTTTATTCTGTATTTTTAGAAAGTGTTTAATATAACCAAAACCTTATATTTTAGTCATATGCTTTTTTAATGAAACTCACCTTTATTTATTTTCTAGAATCCGAAAATGTATTAATATATAGAGTGTTCCATTACAAAATAAACTTTATTTGTAACTATTTGCTGATATCCTGTAAAACTGTATGTATTTTGAAAATGCTCCAAATAACCTACATAATATGCTCACAAAATATCATTCAAGACAAACTGTCGCTTTTTAGAGCTTCCTGAGTGTACGTGATGCATAATCCTGTATTTCACAGACTTTTTGCCATTATCAGTGCCTGATAGATCTTTTTTTTTTCTTTTTACTGAATTTAGACAGATATTCTAATGCCAGGGGCAAATTAGAGCAAATTAAATGTATACAGACTTTTCATAAATGATCCCGGAATCCAATCCAGGCTGGCACGGAAATATTTGTCGGCAAATTTGCCATGTTTGCTTTCAGGTAATCCATCCTACTTTATGGAATATTTAAATCCCGACCTGGATATGTACGAAATTAGAAAATCTTTTCAATAATTCAATTCGTGAAAGTTTAACATTGTTTCTCTCTTTGTCTGTGAACCTTTTTCAATGTTATTTTGTTCGACTGCCGAAAGTATTTTTACCTTGGTTAGAAAATGTTTTTAGCTGGAAATTCTGAAGTTTGTATGATGATATTTTTACTTCAAGTTATTCTCAAATTTCGGTTTATAAATAATATGTATTAATTTTGTGTTTTAGCCTTAAAATATTAAATAATAAAAAATTAATTTCAAATTCTTTTGCGATTTTTTTTGCGAAAGAACTCATAGTCGTGTTCCTGGAGTCGAAATATACCACCTTGAAAAATATTTGCACTTATTTAAGACTCGCCCTGTATAATAGAAGCAAATTTCAATAATGCCTGTATAATTATCGATTAAAAAAATAATTTACTTATATTTAAGTTATATTTTTTTATCATTAGATTTTTTGATCCCAGTCGCCTTGACTAATTATGATTCGCAAATTACTTCAAATTACTTATACATGGTGAGCCTGAAATAAGTACACACCTTTTCACAGGACTAGTAGATCTCGACAAAAGGAACATATTTTCTTTATGTGGTTTTTCAAAGAAGTTAATACTCGAGTTATTTACTTTGCAAATTAAAAAATATGTATATTTTTTGCTTTAATTTTGAGAACCATCGATTTTTTTACTTTATTATACTATACGTATAAAATATATAATACATATAAATTCATATGTATTTTATATTTTATAATAATTATATTATTACAAGATATTTTGTTTTCAATATACTAACTTTACATGAGACACTAAATTTGTTTCAAAAGCTAAGATAAATTCACTGAAATGGTCTATTTACCTTATCCTATAGAATATCTTACAAAAGGTAAAGGCTGTTTTATTTAATATCATTAGCAAATGGAGAACTAACTGTGACCGTAATCTTCCTTATATCTATTATGTATTTAGTTTCAACCCTTCAATTAAATATACCTCTTAAATAACCTTAATTTTCTCTAAAGCTCTTTCTTCTATCAACCCATTTCTAAAGAAATATTATTTCTCTATGAACTAATTATTATTAAAATAATATAAAAATGGTTCAGTTTTTTATGTGAAATCATATTGATTCTTGTGAAATTATAAAATATTATATATATTTTTTGTTAGTGTATGAAGGTATTTTGAATACTTAATCAAACTATTTTTTGTTATAATATAAAAACTTATGATATCCATTTTGTTATTGCCGCTTTTATGTATTTTATTTTCTACTGAATTTAAAAAGGTGTTTTATGTCCAACTTTAACATTTTTCTCGATGAGTTCGTCGGTGCTGTCACCATCGGAGAACAATCGGTATATACAAATACACGGGTTTAAATGGTATACGAGAAAAACTTTATACAGAGTGTCCGGAAATTAATGCAACAAAATTTGGTCATAGATTTTTGAAAAAAAAGGTGACCCATATTTTTGGTTTGGTTTGGTGGCCTCCCTTTTCAGATTTACAGCCTCCTGAATTTCGCCCCTAAAAAGAGTTTTTTTTTAATATCTCGGGGCCCTGTTGGACGAAAATCACTAAATTTGGTACACAGGGGTTTTCTGGTATGCAGAATCAGATAGTGCTATGCTTTTTGCCTCTTAAGACACTTTTTCGTGGACCCCCTTGCCTTTGGAGCCCCAAAACTTCGGTCAGGTGTTTAAATTTCTTAAAAATTATTAGCTCGTTAGAAAGCCCATTGAATTTAGAAATTTTTTGTCGCTTGGAATTTGTTAATTTGTAAAACGCACAGTTTTCGAGAAAAATGACAAAATGTGATTGAATGGCAGATCGAGATTCATATGAAATTTTATTCTACTACATTTAGGTTACAAACAACTTTAGACTTTGGGCTGTAATTCCGAAAAGGGGGACCACTGGCCAAAAATAAAAAATACGGGTCACCTATTTTTCTTTCAAGAATCTATGACCAAATTTTGTTGCATTAATTTCCGGACACCCTGTATAATTATTCTAAAATTATAACTCGTGAAAATTCTAAATTTAAACTAAAAAAGTTAATATATTGATATTTACTAGAAAAAAAAGTAAATATTTTGATATTTACTTTTTCAGAAGGTGTAACGTGTATTATACTTATTATTCAAGCTAATAAAACTTTAGATGGGTTCAACTATGGTAGCGAGCATAGTTTTACGCACCGGTTTTGCTAATGGTTACATAACTTGGGTTATTTCGGCTATAACGAAATTTTTGAAGGTACATAAACAAGGCAGTCCCCCTCCGAATTAGCCTTAGCCGCAAAAATGAGACGTTAACTTGAAATACTTAACTTTTACCTTCAATTGATAATTTAACAGCCTTTATTGTTTTTAGCTACATTATCTAATCAAATTGCCTTGTTTTGTTTCAGGTATGCGTGCACTGCGCCTGCGTGGAAGAGTACAACCGCCTGAACCCTCCGGAGGACCCTCCTCCCCTGGACGCTTGCGAGCGCCTCTACCTGAGCGACACCTCCTCCTCGGAGGACATTGAGGAGGAGGAGGACGAGCCGAACAACGACGAGGATGAGGAGGTAGAGGTAGAGGAGGAAGAGGAGCGGCCGTCGAGCGGTCGCGACTACAGCCGGGAGAACAGCGGCGGTACGACGGGCACGGGCACGGGCACGGGCACGGGCACGGGCACGGACTACAGCCGGGAGAATAGCGAGGAGCGGCAACAGCGCGCGGCCGAATGCAGGATCACGGTGACGCTGTCGCCGACACTCATGTCGCCGGGGGCGCTGCAGTCGCCCCCGCCCGTGCCGATGTCGCCTGTCATCGAGTTCTTTCCGGCGGACGGGGAACCGGAAGTGCCGCTCACGCCTACGCAGACCAGGTAGGTTTGGGTCTTAAGCTCCATTCAGAACGCCGAAATTAGTGGTTTCAATTCTAAAGCTTCATTCAGAACGCCGAAATTAGTTGTTTCAATCAGCGTAGAATTTTGTTCCTATAATGTTAATAAAAGCATTCACAACGTCAAAATTAGTGGTACTAATTTTCAATTAGTGGAAAAAGTTAAAAACATAACTTTTCCACTAATTATACTTCCGAATTTGCCGATTATGCCATTTTGACCTTTAATTGAAATAGTACAGGATCCGGCTGTATGATTATTACGCTCATCGTATTTTTAATCAAACCCTAATTTTTATGTATATTTATAGGAGAATGCACTTTTCACAGGGTGCCTAGCAAAAACTTGCCGCAACTAAGGGTTGCCACGTTTCAAAGTTTTTCCTTCAACCTCTGCAACAGTGCGTTGGGTATCTGTAGCTCTTATAATAAAAAACTTTTTTTAAAAGGAATTTTAGTGCTAAACTAAAGTATTCAGGAAAATAGCTCAAAAAAGTGTGAGTGGATCGGGATGACTTTTTTAAATTGAACATAAAAATACTTGCATTTTTGGTTTCCTTTCTGATCACTTTACATAATGCTAAGATATTATTAAATATGTTTTAATAGTTTCAAAGACAATAAATAAATGAAAAAAGAAGTGTTTTCAGACTTTTTTTTAAAAAATTAATAAAAATACAAGAAATGTTCTGAAATCAAAAGTATATTGTATTTAATTTAGATGGTCTGTATTTAACTTGCTATAAATATCGTAATCTTAAACTATATAGGGTGTTTTTTTTTAAATTTTATGCCAAATTTGTTTAAATATAAAATCATTTTTTTTTCGCTTTTTTTTTAAATAGAACACCCTGTAGGTATATTATTTCTTTGTTAGATGGAGAATTAAAAAATGAATATTTTTCGAATTTAAAGTATTACAAATATTTTACCAAAAAGTAATTACCAAATTTGTATTGTTATCATATTTGATAAGCTAAAGAAGAAAAAGTAAAATGGTATCTATAATTTTTTTGGCGAAAAGTGGAAATAAGTTAAAGAAACGAATAAACTTTTTGAAACAGATCAACCCACGCAAAGAATGTCGAGATCCACAAATTGGACCTGATTGGTAGCTTTAAAAGGAATGAAGGGACACGAAACTTAGAGATAGAAGTAATTAGGGACTCCTAAAGTTGGAATTCTTGTATTTTGTTTTTCCTTTGAGAACAGGAAAAAAATGATGTTAGTCTCTGCCATCTTTTTTCCTTTTTTGCATTACCCTGGTACACTATTATGTCGCTTATATTCTGAAAAGTTTATATATTTTACGAGATCTAAACACTGAAAGTTACTAAAGCTTTAGACCAAAACCTAAGAATAAAAATTCTTCTTTTCTTGAGAACAGAAAAAAAAACAATTTTCATTCATAAGCTTGAAAATAGTGGAATAGATTAGTGGTTTCAAATATAGGTACTTTATAGTTTTTAGTTTACGACCATTCACATTGTCTAAAAATTTCAATTAAAATTAATAGAATATCCTAGCAACAGCTTTCGGTAGTCAGTTCAGGATACTTACCTAATAAAGATTTCGTAACGCTCACTCACCTAATAAAGATTTCGTAACAAGCATTCTTAAACTCAAATTGCCAATTTTACTTTTGCCAAGCCAAAGACAAATACACGTGGGGAAAAAATACCTTTTAAAATATTTTTTCGCCTCAACGAAGTTGAAATAAAAATAAAGGAAAAAACTTACGTAAAAACGAGTTAAAAGACACTCGAAACGTTAATGTTCTTAACGATAGAGGAAACAGGAGATATCTGAAGAAGGAATCAACTTTATTATAGTCTGTTCAACGACAATATCCTTGACAGTGTGTCTGTATTTGTCTGTATTTAAAAAAAAACACATACCAAAAAAAGATATAAAAAAGACTTCCTGCTTTCAAGCCGTGTTTCAAGCTCAAGCAACTTCCTGCATTTATTGTTACATTTATCAATATAATTATTCAATATGATTATTATTTACCTATCGTGTGCTGTTATTTTACAGATACTCCAGTTTTTGGTATAATATACAAGATAATATACAAACTTTATTTGTGGCTAATCCAACTCTCTGGCCATAATCTCCGCCGGCAAACTGTCTCTGAGCACTGAATATTAACTGTAAACTATAGTCTGGGTCAACACTTAATTTCCCCTTTGCGTTTTTCTCCTCTTAATTTAAAAAAAACACGAAACACGGGTAATAACACAGTCCAAAATGCAAAATATTGATCATTCCTATTTGACATAATTTAACACAAAATTATAACCTATAATTTGGCAAGACTTTGACAACTCTCAAAAATCTTAAGTCGAGTTTATACGCATCGGCATCCGATTGTCGTTCATCGTTCTGTTAAACCAATAATATTGAAATATGATCTGTAATTTTTTAAATAAACCAATAAAACTGGTTAAAAACAACAAGAGATGACGCATGACGGATTTATATAACGTGCTGGCAACTGTTACTTTTGGGTCGGCATTTACATGTGCGGAAGTAAATCGCATAGGGATCTTATTAAGTCGGAGTGAGAGAATTGCGACCGACCGACGCGACGCGCGACGGTTTGCTGTTGCGGCGTTGCCGATACGCCTTTCCCTATCAAGTAAAGTAAAATCACGATCGCAAACCGCTTATTTTTAAAAGACTTTTTTTTCAAGAGATAACTAGATAAAATCATTAAGTTTGTAATGTTTCTGAGCATCTGAAATGGAATTATAAGGATATCGTTAGGGTGTCATTTTTTTATAACGAGAAAACGTCAGTAATCGCGATAATTTAAAAATTCAACTTTTTAACACATAACAGGCCATAACTCAAGATTGAAACTAACTCAATTGAAACTTTTTTTTATTTTCAAGATCGGATATTTTACAATATGTTTACATAAGAAAAATTCGATAAGGTTGTTTTTTCCATTCAAAAATTGTAAAGAATCCATCCATTTACTTTTAGAGCATAGCAATTTTCAGCAATCGTGTAATTTTTTTATTGATAAAGATTTTCACATACTGTCTACAAAGAAAATACAGCAGAAATATTAACAAACTTCTTGAAAAAACTACAATCTATTATTTCTAATAGATTTCGAGATATCGATTTTTGAATTCAGGGTATTAATAGCGCGACCACTATCGAACACCCACTCAATTCCACTTATTTTTACCAAAAATGCAAGTGTTTCTAGCTTGCACTTAAAAAAATTCAAGCTATAGGGAAAATTACAACGACTCGTTTATAAATAAACAAATCAAGTATCACGAGACGTAATTAAATCGTGAAGCTGAACGCATGACGTACACCTTTCCCTAGAATTTAAGTACTGACAGAGGTACTGATTGAGTCGACCGGTCAACTGCGACAAATCTGCTATATCCCCTTCCACGTCTCTTAACGATGTGCACAGTTTCTCGGTTTATTTCATATGTTTGGCAACCTATTTACTGTCCTCTCTTTGTTCAGTACATTATAAACGCATTGTACTCTTCTTACATACGGAAATCTCGGCCCAAGACTAACGTTTGCCATCCCTTAGTACAAACCTATCCATAGTTAACTTAAAAAATATTAGAAACGTAGATGCTCTAAACTTTGATTGGTTAGAAACGGTTAACCAATCGAAACTTTTAAATTCAACCAATAAAATTAATATCGTATTATCGTATCGTCGGACAACGGATGCATGAAAATCAAGCTTTATTGGGAACCGGTTTTTTTGTAACCTAGTAACGATATATCCAGATTTTATAGCAATATAATTGTGTTATTTATTTACAAGCTTCACTTCGTTAAATAAAATTATAATAAAAATAATAGGTTTTATTCAAATCGTGTTTTTTTATGTAGAAAGATAAAAAAGTCTTCGAAATTATAATTCGAACGGGCCTCTCCAATTTTAATTTCTATTCAAATATTCGGCGTTCTGTTTTCTGAAAACCCGCTGAAAAAAATATCATTTGCCAGCACGATTTTTCTCCGGTTTTCTTTCCTGATTAGCATTTCAGGAATCCGGATTTTAATGGATTTCTCCAAATTAAAAAATGGCGTGTTTTTAAGTGTATACAGGGTGATACATTTAATGCGGGTAAACAAAGTAGGCTCTTCCTACATTAACCTTAGCAACAAAAAAGAGACGTTATCTTAAAATACTTTACTTTGCTTATTATTTTCTAAGCTGTAGAAGAATCCGTTACACTATTGTCTTGTTGAAAATTTATGACATTTTTTTATGTTCTAGGAGAAAATCGATACATCGGCAAGAAGCGTTTTTTGCCGAACCCACCGGTACGTCTTTAGAGAACATGTCGGAGGGTGGTGCTTCTGAGCCGTGCTCAGATCGAACATCAGAAGGCGCTCTGTCGGAAGGAGACGCCATCAATACTACCATCCCTGGTCTGGTGGTGCGCGACATCTATCTACAGGTAAGAACAAACTAAATGTACAGGGTGTCCCATTTCCGTATTTTTTATGGGGTTTTCCCTTTGAATAAGAAGACTAAGGAAGGAGCATAATGCTATCCATGTATTCATGCATGGTGGGCGGAAAAAGCGCCATAAAAGCACTCTAGGGTGGGGATCCTTGACAGTTCCGTTTGACGATTCATTTGACACATTTGAATTTGATTTGAAATTTTGTGGATTTGTCAGTCTTTAAGGAGCTTATTTTATGTTATTTATTATTTATTCTACTACTGATAGTTGTATAAAGGTAGTAAATCTAGATGGAAATTATGGCAGCACTTAAATTAACAGTGACACTATCGCGATTTATCGAAAAAGACTCTAAAATAGTTGGTTGTGTAGCGTGCGGTAGATCTCGGCAAAAATTGAGTGAAATAATGGAACAGCTTTTCGCTAGTAAGTGACTATATAATATACATACGTGTAGTAAACCGATCATTTATGAAATTCACTTAAATTAACTAACTTATATATTTTTCTTGCATTTTAGCTTTTATTTATTACTTGTCAAAGATTAGATGTCAAAGAATTTAGATATGTTAATTTGTCTTATCTGCTTCAGTAGCGTATCGGATGTTTGTGGTAATAAATACTTATAGAACTTATCTATTTTTATTAGAATTATAAATTTTTATAACAATTTTAATAACTACCAACATTTATTCACAACGTAAAATAAAACAACAAATTATTGAGTCTACCCCACGTCTACTACCACCTACATCATAGTTTTACATTTTTTAAATCAAATTAGAACGACACTGATAAAACGGAATTTAAGTCGGCCATATTTGAGGCCCATCGCGGTGTACCTAAGATTTTTGATATGCTTCTTCCTTAGTCTTCTTATTCAAAGGATTTTCTGGTTTATGAGTAGAGATACAAATATGGCGATTTTCACACCACTGGAAGAAATGTCTCCTTTGGTAAAAATTGCTACGAGCACCGTACTCAAGATATTTAGAATGGAAATAGTCAATACATGTCATTAGAACTTTTTATTTTTTATGCTAATCATGATTTTTTTATTGAATCTTTGATACAAAAACATTTCAAATTTATTATTTCAGACTAACGGTATCCAGTCACCCTGTATAATTTTTGTCAGTTATGACATGTATTGGCTATTTTGTTTCCTAATATCTGGACAACACTCGTAGCGATTTTTACCAAGAGACCTTTTTTACGTAAAAGATTCCGGAAATGTAGATTTTTTCACTCGGTATTGTAAAGTTTCCCTAATACAATTTGGACCACTCTGTATAATGATTAACAACACTGACGTATTTAATGTAATATAGACCTGCGTGCTTGAATAATGATTTGCATATTGTAAAATCTTAAAAGCTTTTTAAAGAAAAAAAAACTTTATAGAAAAAATATAACAGGGAAGTAACGTATTTTTGAATTTTCATATCGCGTTCAAGCTCTTAGATTGCCATAAAATAAATACCTACATATTAGCTACTTTATTAACCCTAATCACACCATTCCGTAATAAAGATATAAAAAGGGGGAGTTTTTTTTATTAAGATATAAATATGTATGATATACGAGTAGGTATTTTCCCAGATCACTGTAAATCTCCTTAAATTGCTTATAACAAATTGATTAATGTTATACTTATTTTGATTTATATGGCTTGTGGTGGATAATAAAATTAATATACAGGGTGGTCCGAACTGTATTCCGGAAACTTCTGCACATAACAATAAGTAAAAAAGTTCGTATAAATATATGTTCTATAATGCTTAGTTTCGGAGATACAGGGTGTAGAAGTTTCATTTTTATTTCGATTTTTTCCAATTAATTTCTAAATTGGTGTCTGGGAATTTTTTGACATGAGAAATTTGATTTTGATGTCAATATGACTCTTATTTGTAGGGGGCACCACCTACATCTGTTTGAAGAGTAATAACTTTTCGCCCGTACCTGTATAAAACTCTACCGAGTAAAAAAATATACATTTCCGATATTTTTTACGTAAAAAATGTCTCTTGGTAAATATCCTTACGAGCAACCGTTCTCAAGATATTTAGAATGGAAATAGTTAATACATGTCATTATTGACAAAAAATAAACATGTTGAGCAGATCGTTATTTGACTGAAATAATAAATTTGGGAAATTTTTATTTTTTAAATTAATTATAAATTTTTCTGTGAAAAAATGAGGATAAAACAGTTTCTGTTGAACTTTTGGTACAAAAACATTTAAAATTTATGATTTCGGTCTAATAACTATTTCGTCAACATGTTTAATTTATGTCAGTGATGAGAGGTATTGATAATTTCGATTCGATATATCTCGAGAACCATTACGTCATTTGCGACGTTTTTTTACGTAAAAAACGTCGCAAGTGTATATTTTTTACTCGGTAGTTTTATACAGGTACGGACGAAAAGTTATTACTCTTCAAATCAGTTAAAAAATATGTAGGTAGCGCTCTCTACCAGTAGGAGTTACAGTGACATCAAAATCGAATTTCTCATGCCGAAAAACTCCCAGACACCAATTTTCATCCAAATATTGACGATAATTCAGAAATTATTTGGAAAAAATCGAAATAAAAATGTAACTTCTACACCCTGTATCTCCGAAACTAAGCATTTTAGGACATACAATTATACGAACTTTTTTACTTATTTTTATCTGCAGAATATGCTGCCAAAGTTTCCGGAATACAGTCTGACCACCCTGTATAAAGAGCCAATCTACAGTATTTTTTTCATAAAACATTTATAAAAAATGTCCATAATAACTAGTTTTGCGGATCTCTTTGCTAAGTTCGCTTAGCTTAGTGTATTTCAATTGTATAAGTATTAATGTTATTTAAAAACATATCTGGGTCGACGTCATGCAGGTAACTGATCCCTTGGGCCTACATCAAATTAATTTACTGGAATTATATTTTATATGATTTTTTCCCAATTTGATATAAACTCAAAACAGTCTAAATTGAAGCCTTGACAATAAAATTCCTTATTAATTTCCTTAGGTGCCAGACCTGAAACGAGACAGAGCCGCGTCTGTCGACTCCTGCTTCTCCAAAGTGTCCGAGAAAAAGACTGAAGAACTGCAACATTCCGGGGTGAGTCTTGAAGTGCCCGTGGGGCCCAGCGTGGCCCTCAGGTCGAGGTCGGTGGACATCGTGTTACCCACTGATGAGCAGGCCCGCTATAAGGCACTGGCCATGGCAGCGCCGAGTTCAGCACAAGGACAGTATAGGTAAAACTGATAATATTCACATTACGTTATTGATATTCATATATAGTGGTTTTAATTTAACAATTTCTTGAAAAGCGAATATCGAAAAAAATAAAGCTATTGAGATAAACCAAAAAACAAATTGTCGAGAAAAGATGCACTTTGATCATAAAATTAGTTTTAAATTCGTTACTTTGTTAACATAGTCCACAGGGTGTTTCAAACTTTCACCAAAATATCAACATTTTGTTTTCTCTCGTATAATAGACAAATTTAACCTTTCATTCTTAATTTAAAAAGAGACACTAAAAAGTCAAATAATTTACCTACAAATTGCTTAAAAAATCATGAAAATTGACACACTAATTTATTGTAGTTTATTAAAAAAGCTGTTTTTCCATTACATACCAATACATAAAATCAACTAGTACAAGCTATTTTTGTTGTTTAATGTCGTACAATGTTTCGAGAATATTGTTTTGTTTCACTTTTTAATATTTTTGATTGTATGTTTTAATTATTGTATATTTTTTAAAAGTTTCAACCATAAAACAGAACAAAAAACAATACAAATGTATAATACTCGTATGTCTATTATCTGTTACACGTAATTAAAATATTTTTCAAAAATTTTAGGTGACGATTTTTTTACTTTAACTAAATTTTATATTTTATTTTAGGTTCTGCAAATGTTTTTTTTTTATTTCAGCCCTTCCTATAATGGTTTTATTATTATCTCTCTGTAACATATTTATTTTTAATTCTTATTGAATTTTGCTTTTGTTAATTTTTTTTTATTTTATTTATTATTGTTTTGTTAAGCTTAAAAAATAAAATTGTACTTATTTACTTCTTGTTATTATTTACCCTATTTTATAACTTTTTTACCTTTTTACTTTATCATATTACTTCTTAAAACCATTATTTGCATGCGTTGTTTTTTTATCATAGAAGCTTTTTTAGCATAAGAGAAAATAAAATGTTTTTCTAGCTGCTGGATATTACTGACTTTCTATTAAATTGTATTATTGACATTTATTATTGATATTAACTTTTATTTTTAAACAGAATAGTAATAGTCTGTCTATGACCAGTTTTAGACTGCATAGTGATATATTATTATGTAGTGTTGAAATTTATTTTACTGCAACAAAGACCACAGCTTTAATCACCACATAATTCCTGTTCATTTTGCAAATGCTTCCGGTACAACTAACGCATTTTAGTTTAATTAAAAGAAATATTTCGGTTCTGTTATTATGAAACGATATGTTTAGGTACACAGGTATTATATTGAATAAAACCTATTAATAATTGAAGTTTATTAAAAGCTGAATTAGATATATAATTATTATTAAATTCAAATAAACACATTTGATATTTCCAATTTCACTTTATGTAGAAATGTAATTTAAAAGCAATACTACTAACAATATTATTGTGTCCGGTAATACTATAGGTATACCGGGTGTGTCAAAAGTGGCTCACCCCTATAATTTTTTTATTTTATCAGATAAAAAAACGAGATTTGGTATGTTACTACACGACATAAATTAGGATTGATTGACGTATTCAATTGTTTTTGGTTACTTCCTGTTTCACCGGAAATGAATACAACCTTTGATTTTTAAAAGGGATCCTCGCTATATTTTTACTTTATTCCATAGAAAATGACACTGAATAAAATGACATATAATATGTCAACTTTTGACATTTTCGCTTAAAAAAACATCGTATTTTAAATTTCAATCTAGCGTGCCATGGCTGTGTTGGAAACACTAATTTTTAATCAAGGAGCCGTGGAAAAATAGATTTGATCGCCTAATGTTTTGTCTTGTCATGGCCGGTTAAAAGATGCCCAAATCGTATTTTTAATCATATCTCATTTTTTTCAAATGGAACAAGGGTGGCTCATTAGTATATTTGGAAAATGCATTTTTTACGAATAATTTGGTATCAAACACTTGGTATTTCGAGTCAACTTGTCGTTATGAACCGCATCTTATAATTTCAAATAAATGCGAAAAAACCATGCAACATTATATACAATTTTTATCATATCTTTTCCCACAATGACAATATTGGACTTCCTTACACTAATAGGCCACCCTGTATCAACAAATGATGTAAAATAACATTAAAGTCAATCTATCGGTTTTTCGACGTAGCTGAGCCTTTGCCCTTACTTGTATAATATTCTGTAATACGTTTTAATTTAGTATTAATTAAACAAAAACAGGGCATTAATTTTTTAGAGAGAATTATAATTAAAGTGCCAAGAACAAGCCCAATACATTACCTTACATTAATTCCGAACAATGTAGAGCTCCCCATAGCAATGTCAGTCACCAAATTTACCCCTTTTAGCCTTTTGTACCCTCGGGTCCAGCTATTGTTCCCAACCTTCCCACATCCAGAAAGTGCTGCTAATAGACCTACCTGTTCCCTTTTTGTGCGTCCCCCAACCCTGACGAATATTTCGTGGAATAGGGACGGATCTGCCATTAGGAATTTGCGAATAATAAGAACACATGTTACAGTAAAGGCTTTAGAGATTAAAATGGGCTGAAAAGGCTTCGATCGACAGAATATCGGTTAAAAAGGGGTTTTAAGCAATGAAAAAAATGAAAAAGGATGCAATCGAATTATATTTTGAGCTGCCATTTTGAAACCCTTTTTGCTCAGTTTTGTTTAACTTTTTTATTAATAAATAGTATATTGTTTTATTAGGAGTAAAAATGATACTTCTCGTGGCGAGGCTGTAAGTTTGACGAGCATTAGCGAGTCCGACATACAGGCGAGGTACAAAAAGTAATTTTTACTCCGAATAGAATATGCTATTTCTTTCAAACTCCAAAAATAATTTTTTAAATAATTTCAAACCTTCCATTACTATAAAAATATTTAAAATGAATAGCTTGTAAGTAATTATATATCGAGAAACTATGGTTAAGCTCGTTGAATTTGACACTTAATGTCAGTTTCAATAATACCGGGTGCGTCTCAAAAGTGGCTGTAACTTTTTTTATTTTTTTCAGATAAAAAACGAGATTTGGTTTGTTAGTATAATATGACATAAATTAGGATTGATTGACGTATTCAATAGTTTTTGGTCACTTCCTGTTTCACCAGAAATTACTACAACTTTTGATTTTTACCCTCGTATATTTCTACTTTATTCGATAGAAAATGCCACTCTGAATAGAATGACATTTCATATGTCAACTTTTGACATTTTCGCATATAGTTTATGCGAAATATTTTATAAAATTGTAACATGCGCTTCAACAAGACAACTTGACTCGAAAAACCAAGTATGTGGTACCAAATTATTTGTAAAAAATTGCTGTTTCCAAATACGCTAATGAGCCACCCTGGTTCCATTTGAAAAAAAAATTGAGATATGATTAAAAATACGATTTGGACATCTTTTAACCGGCCAAGACAAGTCGCTAAAAACATTAGACGATCAAAACTATTTTTCCTAGGCTCCTTGATTAAAAATTAGTGTTTTTAGCACAGCTATGGCATTCTAGATTGAAATTTAAAACACGATTGACCAAAAAGAATTGAATTCGTCAATGAATCCTAAATTATGTGATATACTAACATACCAAATCTCCTTTTTTATCTGAAAAAATAAAAAAGTTATAGGGGGTGAGCAACTTTCGAGACGCACCGGTATACTTTCGTACTTTTCTACTTAGGCGTAAAAGTGCTTTATACTTTTATTTTACCGACGACGGGGGGAGATATACCTCCTGAAACGTTAAGCATTTTTTTGTTATATTAGAAAAATACCACTGTCAAATTGGTTTCCATTGGATAAATACAGCGGTGTTTACAAAAAATAACTATTTTATTTTGTAGATTTTTTTCTAGTAGCGAAATACCCAAAAGTCTTTTTTGGAAAATCATACCCTCTCAGTTTATAACAAAAGGGGTATGGTTGTTATTTAAACATAAACTTCCCGATTAAATTGTTTGTTTAGTAGACAGTTTCTTTTGCAAAATACACGCTGTGCAACCTGCATATTAAAATGTCCAACGCAGACCGACATCAAACGCTATATTCCACCTACTGCACGACAAACGTGTACGCGTAAACACCATTTTTCCTCATTTGGACGCTCGTTATAATGAAACGTTGCCGTTTTGTGCCTAAATATTGTTTCTGTTTATTGGCGAAACACGGGGGCACAATAAGCGACATTAACCGATCCAGTTGGTGGGACAAATCATCGTCAAAAATCAGCAAACCGTGCGGTTTGGGCGCCAATTAACAAAACATTTCTCGAATTTGCGTACGTTGCAAATCATTAAATTGACACGGAAAAATTAACGACAGCAAACAAGGTCAATTATTAAATGCACAGATAAATGAAACAAGTTTAGATAGGAAAGTTTCCATAAAGACAATGCAAATACTATTTGATGCTGTTTTTTCAGCGGATGCGATCCAAAGATTTCGACAATTTTGGAGCGTTTCGGCATTTTCCGGAATTATATCGAAAAATGTATTATTATTGTTTTCATAAATATGCATATTTAATACACCCAGATGCAAAAAAAACACAACGGAGAAATTTTTGTTCAAATTTAAAGTGTTATATTTTTGTTATTTTTAGCTTTATTTTCATGATTTTTTTTGCAAGCTGTATATAATTATATCAACTTTAATTCGTACACTCAGCTTTTTTATAAACTTTAGTATTTGGCATATTATACAGGGTTAAACGAGGAGTTGTTTTTTACCTTAACTTTAAAACACCCTATGCAATAATTTCGTATGTAAATTTTCCTAAAATATAATTTAACGGTTAGAATCATATCTCCTGAGTATTTTATTTTTTAGATCATATCAATACATTCCTTGGTTAATTTTTAAGAGCAAAATGAACTTGCAACTCGATCTAACCGCTCGAGCAGATCGTTTTACTACGTTTGCGCGTACTTGTCTTCACGGGATCGTTTTGGACGCGATGTCGCGCTGCTTGCTCGCCGCTATCCTCGCCGCTTCA